AAAAAAAAAAAAAAAGTCCGAGAACATTGTACTTTCCACGAAAGGCTGGGAGGGCTCGGCTCCTGGGGAAGGGGACTCTAATGAGTAGTACTCCTTAGTTATCAGGCAATTTACAGCCAAGGAACCTTTATGGTAATAGGCTATAAAGTAGGTGTTTCTTGCCTAATTTTGCCGATGAGAAAACAAGTTCAGACGAGTTACCAGTATTGTTTCCATTTTCCCGCGAAGAGGATAAATTTTAGAAAGGTAAGAAGACTTGTTAGGGATCATATGGACGATAGGGGGCGGATCTGGTATCCAACCGCAAAGCCTGGACTGGTTTCAAAATGACTCGCAGTCTCACTTGAGAAAAGTGCATCCAGGGCAGCGAGGTTTCAGCACCATTAACCCCGCGATATATATATATATATATATATATTTAACCCCGCGATGAGAAGCAACCCCAGGGGAGCAAGCGGCCAAGCCCCCTACCTGAGAGACATTTGCTCTCGGCCAGGAGGCCCCAATCCCCAAGAAGAAGAGGCACCGTCAGCTCCAAAAATCCCGCCTCACTTTCTGACCGGGATGATTAGTTACCTAAATACCCGGTGATAATTGTGACTGGGATCTTAGCGCCGGGGACAGAGTTTTCCTCCTCCTCCTCTCTGCGCTTCGTCTCAATGGGAACCAATTCAGGACAGTCTTCCTCCGCTTGCTCCTCCTCTTCATCCTCAGCGACATTAGCTTCTAACATCTTGGCCTACCGAACACGTCCTCCACAGCTCAAGACGCTGACAAGAGCCGGAACCAAAAAGTCCTCCTGACAGTGGCGCAAGCGGAGCACGCCGCGCAGGCCCGTTTTGAGGTCATCACACCGCGACGCGTAGCCCCTTCCAGTCCCGCCCCAGCTACCTGCTCTCTGGCTGAGGCCGGCCTCGCCCGCTTAGCCACGCCCCCCAGGGAAATCTGCCACACCCTCATGGATTGGACCTGAACCTGAGGGAGGCGGGGCGGAATCGTTAGGGCGCCTAAACCAGTCAGTCCTGAAGCTGCCACTGTTTGGCGCTGGAGTGTAGGTAACTGGCGGCTGTTGGTAGAGCTGAGGCCTGGATGGTTGGAACCTGAAACGGGTGCACTGGTCTAAAAACAGTGTCTGTAGGGCATGGACTTTCTCAACTTGACATTTTTTAGTCTCATTAAAAATATTTTGAATTTATGGGGAAAATAATGGAAGTCTATAACGTTGCAGTATTACTTGGAAACAAAGAAACGGGGGTTAGTGAATATATTTCTTTTTATTATTATTACGTTAAAACCAGTTGCCATCAAGTTGACTCCCTTACGATGATCGCATGTGAATCAGAATAGAGCTGTGCTTCATAAGGTTTTCAATGGCTGATTTTTCAGTAGATGGCTAGGCCCTTCTGAGGCACCTCTGGGTGGACTTGAACCTCCAAACTTTCAGTTACCAGCTATATGCATCATCCAGGAACATCCAGCCATAAAAGACCATGATGAAATGTCCAGAATAAGAAAATCCATAGAGACAGAAAGCAGATTAGTGGTTGCCAAGGGCTGGGAGTAGAGAAATATGGGAGTGTGTGGTAGTTAAGATTGTGTGTCAACTTCGCTGGGCAGTGGTTTTTAGTGGCTGGGCAGCTGGATGTAATTATTGTCCATGATGAGATTGTAATCACCTCCATGGTAGACTCTGCTGTGAGCAGCTAAGTAGTTGCCTTCGGGGAGTGGCCTGTTTCCAGTATATGTGGAGAAGCTTTGAGGAAGGTCGTTAGCTTTTTGGCACTTCTGAATCTCGCATTTGGCTGAGTCTTCATCTGGCCTGCCACATAGCCTACCAATCTTGGGATCATTCCTGGGCTTGAACTAGTGGCCTGTTGTGTTGCCTACCAATCTTGGGATTGTGTCATTGTATCTGTTGACCTTGGGGGTCATCAGCCTCAGCAGCCAGTAGTGCCTGAGTTAGGAAAGACGCTAGCTCCAGTGGGAATAAGAGGCAGAGCTGAAGCCTAAGGTCAAGGGCCTTTCACCCAGCCCCTATAGGTGGCACTCTGAGTTTAGACTTCTAGCCTTTTAAAGTGTAAGAGAATAAATTCCTGTTTTTTAAGTCATCCACTTGTGATGTTTCTATCATAGTAGCACTAGAGAACCAAGACAGAGGGATTGCTAATGGGTACAGGGTTTCTTTTTAGGTTGATGAAAATATTCTAAAGTTGACTATGGTGTTGGTAATCCAACTCTGAATATACTCAAAACCTCTGAATTTTACACTTTAAATAGGTAAATTGTATGGTATGTAAATATTTCTGAATAAAGCTGCTATTAAAAAAAAAGTTCAAGGCACATCTGTGCTTCACAATGTGGTTAGTTCCAGGGTACATTTGCAGAGAAACCCTGCCTTCAGGTCCTGCCCTTAGCAGTTTCAAGTCCTGGCCTTCTGGGCATAGTTAAATCAGAACCTTTGTGTGGCAATTCTCAGATTAAGCCATTAATTAATAATAATTTAAAAAAAAACAGTGCCATCAGCTTGATTCCAACTCAAGGCAACCTCGAGCGTAGGGTAGAACAGCTCTGTAGGGTTTTCTTGGCCATAATCTTTATAGAAACCGATTGCCAGGCCTTTCTTCCTTTCTTCTGCTGGGTGGGTTTGAACTGCCAACCTTTAGGTTAGTAGTTGAGAGCAAATCTTTATGCCACGTAGGGACCCTAAGCCATTCAATCAGTAAATGGCAGTCCTGGGGCTTAATGCAGATCTGCCTATTACTAATCTCATGTTCTTCTAAACCAAACTTTTTCAGTAACAGGCCAGATAGTAAATATTTTAGGCCTTAGAGACCAAGAGACAAAGTTGACGATATATGGATACTTGTAAGAGAGAAAATAAATTTCCACAAATTTTGAAATTTGAATTTCATATTATGTCCACATGTCATGAAATATTATTCTTATAATTTTTTTCAATCTATTTAAAATGTATAAACCTTTCTTAGCTTGTGGACTGGACCAAAAGGGGTGATAGGCCGTAGTTTGCCAGCCCCTCCTGCTCTAAGCTGATAGCATGTATTGCCTTCCTAAGCTGAATTAAATAAGTTGTGCATAAATAGACCATCTTTACTGTTTTAAACTCAGTTTATAAATCATTCAAACCCTTTTCCCCCAAAGGGTTAGATGGTATGATAACCACTGTACTAATTTTCAGAGGAACGTCTGAACCTGAGAAGCTTAAACTATCATCTCTAAGACACTGATACCTGGCCTTGGAGAGACCTACTGTAAGCAGCACTTGAATCTTTGTGGTGTTCCCATGGGTGTCAGAGTAGAACTGTTTCATAGGGTTTTCAGTGGCTAATTTTTCAGGAGGAGATTGCCAGGCCTTTCTTCCAAGGCACCTCTGGTGAACTTGAACCTCCAACCTTTCGGGTAGCAGCCAAGCTTGTTAACCATTTGCACCACTCAGGGACTCCATGAGTCTGAGTCAATCTGATGGCAACTGGTAGGTTTTTGAATCTTTGTATAGCGGTAGAAGCACCCCTCCATGGGCCCAGAGCACAGCAGATAAGCTCTCTCCCAGCCTGGATTCCTGAAGCTCAGCTTCCAGGCAATAACTCTGCCACATGTCCTTGGGCATAATTCCTTACTGTTCCCTTTAGCCTCATTTTTCTCCTTTGAATAGTTAAGATAGTTACCTTGAGCAGTAGTAAAGATGGTAACTATGTCCAAATCATAGGGAAACTAAAAATAATGGCAACTTTTTTTTTTTTTCTCTCATTTTTGCAACTTTCTACAGAGGAAAGAACACTCAAGGGGCCAGCAAGAGCTGCTGGTTTAGAGGAAAGGAAACTGAGGGTTTCAAAATGGACCTAGTTCCTCTTACACACTTGTGGCTAAAACCAAACAAACAAATTTTAAGAAGCTTCGTGTTTATAGATATGTTTTATTATCTTTCATTAGGAACACATGAACTTATTAGGAACCTCACTCAAAAGCCAGAGACCAACAGCTTTTTTTCATGCAAGGGCTTTAAAAAAAAAACCAAACTCACTGTTGTCGAGTCAGATCTGACTCAGCAACCCCTCCTTGGGTGTCCAGGCAGTATCACTAGGGAAGTAGATTGCCCAACCTTCCTTCCAAGGAGTGGCTGGTGGGTTTGAACCTCTAGCCTTCTGGTTAGCAGACAAGTAATGAACATTGAAAATAAATAACCAGAAAACACAAAACAGTTGCTGTCAGGTTGATTCATGAGCCCCAGGTGTGTCAGAGTACAACTGGGCTCTGTGCTTTCAATGACTGATTGTTCAGAAGTAGATTGTGGGGCTTTTCTTTAGAGGAACGTCTGGATGGACTCGAACCTCCAACCTTCCAGTTAGCAGCTGAGCTATATAACAATTTGCACTGCCCAAGGATTCTTAATTAAGGTAGAATATCAATGTTCAAGCATCAGAGTGTCCTCTGGGAAGTTATACAACTACTGGAAGCATGTGAAATAATGTTTCCTTCCCAGAAAACTGAAGGTGGCTAGCGGGTGAAATATGCATGTTGGTGTTTTTAGGGCATGTGACTCATTTCAAAGGCTGTCAGTGATATGACTTGAATTCATTATCCTATGTGATTAAATCATGCTATCAATAAGCATTGCTTACTATCTGGCCACTTGTAAATCAGCTTCCCACAAAATAAAAATCAGAAAACTCTATTCAAAGCCTGGAGGCTGGCTGACTTGAATGGTGCATTCTTCTCTCTAAAAGATACTATCAGGAAGCAGTGGGATTGAGCAAAATTGAGAAAAAAAAAAGTTGTGTAATGATTTGTGTTGTAATAGTTTAGGAGACAATCTATATAATACCCTCTTCTCAGTAGAAATTTGAAACTGACAGTTGTGGCTTTATTTAAGTCTCACTTTCTAATTTTTACGCTTTTAGAGAAGTGTATTCTAAAATCCACAGGGACCATGTTTTATTGAATGTAAATATAAGACACATAAATAAATGAAAACATCTCCATTCTTCTGTCTTCTTATGATTTCTCCAAATTCCCTTAATAAATGTTTATTTGTACTTATATAAATACTGTGCTACTGACAAAGCCATGTCTTCCTGGCTATGAGACCAGTGCTTCTTTCTGGTCAGACCTCAGCGCCTTAATCCCTTCAAAAATCAAAGCCATTGCTATGGGGTCAATTCTGACTCATAGTGACCCTATAGGACAGAGTAGAACTGCCCCCAGAGGGTTTCCAAGGCAGTATATCTTTATAGAAGTAGACTGCCACATTTTTCTCCTGTGGAGTGGCTAGTGGGTTCAAAGTGCCAACTTTGCATATAACGGCTGAACACTTAACCACTGTGCCACTAGGGCTCCCTTAGGCCATTAGGCACCAGAATTCACTTATGGAGAGTCAGGAATCTTGTCCTTAGCTTGTTTTACTTTCTTTTCTCCTATTACTTTAATGTTTACTTTTTGCGCTTGACTCTTGGTGTAGACTGCTCTAAAATACATAACCCAAAACCAAACCAAACTCACTGCCGTGATGTCGGATCCAACTCATAGTGACCGCTCCTTGGTTTCTGAGGCAGTTTCATAACAGAAGTAGATTGCCCAACCTTCCTTCTAAGCCCAAATACATAGCAGCATATATTTTCATCCCAAGCCACTTTCCTATCTCAGCCTCAATCACGTCATCTTTCTTTAGGGAACTACCTTGAAATCAACACCATTCAGCATACTTTTATCCTATTTTAGCAGTCCTCCCAGACCTAAAAACCAAAACAAATGGAAGAAGTGATGAAGTAGAAGAGCTGAACAGCAGATTTCAAAGGGCGGCTCGAGAAGACAAAATATAATATT